AGATTTTTTAATGGGGTCATATGATGCGATTTCAAGTTTTCCTTTCTCTTTGGAGTGTTACAAGCTGTTCGTGAATAGATACGATCCCTAAAGTTGCAAAGACTAAAGTCTCAAACCCAAAGAGATATTCTTTATAAAAGTTAAGACTCGTCCACGCCCTCCTAAAACGCCTCGTTTAAACACGCCCCCACATGTCTATGTCACTGTGTGGGAAGATTTGCCTAATGTTGCCAAATGTTCACGCAAAGAAAGAAGGTGTAACTTTGATTCTCTGTGTAGTATTGTTGCTGCCGCCGCCATGTCGTGGAGACGCTGTTTGTTTGTGTACAAAGACAGTATAAGTCATTATAATAAGTAATTATGTCCCCACTGGATGCAACAAATGCCTCTTTTATAATGGGTTTTATTGGTTTTGTCTCATCGCGCCGGGACACGGCATCATATGGTAAGGGGGCGTAACATTTCCTTCACACGCTTGAGGTATTCGGCCAATCACAACGCATATGTGGAAAATAATGTTGTTTTTTTAACCTTAAACCGCATAAACACATTTCATTACACCAAACACACAAAATAATGTTCTTTTTTAGCAATGTCATATGACCCCTTTAAAAATTTTAAAGGGGTCATTTTAAGTTTTCGCGTTGATGCCATAGAACAGAGATGCCCAAACCAGGGCCCGTGGGCCAAAGTTGGCCTGATTACCCGGCATGCCATATCATGCCATAAAATAGAGGGAAGAAAACAAAATGCCATTGCACTTAATTTATATTTTTTCTTTGTGTTTTAACACTTTTGTTCTATAATTGCATTGAAATGTAGAGAATTTACTAAATGTTAATTTGATTTAGGCTACAAAAAATAATATATTTGGATTTAATGCAACATTTACTTTTGGCCCTCGGCCCTCAAGTTTTGGTTCCCCAAAGAACATTTCAGTGAATATTTCTTAAAAGAACCCTTTTTTTCTTAGCATGACGAACATTTGAATAATCTGAAAAACCTTCTTCCAATGTAAACAAACTTTTGTGCAATGGAAAGGTCCTATGGATGTTAAAAGTTCTTAAAGGGGTCATATGATGCGATTTCAAGTTTTCCTTTCTCTTTGGAGTGTTACAAGCTGTTTGTGAATAGATAAGGCCCCTTTAAAGGAATCATAGATGCCAATAAATAACCTTTATTTTTAAGAGTGTAGAACATTTCCATTGGATAAAAAATGCTTTACACTCTTAAAAATAAAGATTCCAAAAGGAGCATTAGCAGTGATGCAACAGAAGAACCATTTTTGATTCCCCAAAGAACCTTTCAGTGAACAGTTCCCAAAACAACTAAAAAAGAAAATAAATAGTGGAAAAGGGTTCTTTAGATTATTAAAATGTTCTTCACATGAAGGAAAAGAATGGTTCTTTTAAGAACTGATCACTGAAATGTAATTTTGGCAACCAGAAATGGTTCTTCTGTTGCATTGCTGCAAATGCTCCTTTTGGAACCTTTAGTTTTAAGAGTGAAAGCAACCGCAGCCAACCTCCTTAACCACTAAGCAAGTCATTAAACTACTGATCTCTCTTCAGACTGTCCAAGTATTGAATATACATACAGCCTAAATGGCCTCCACACAGTTGTAAACTTTCAGGCTTTCACAGCTTAGTTTGTCTTCATGAACTTTCCTGTTCTAGGTTTCTCACGAGGTTTGCTAGAGATCATCATCAGCTCTGATGTTTTGTCATGTTTGTTAATTAGTCTCATGTGCTTCCATCCCCAGTGAAGATCGACCCGCCTTTTAACTTGACATACATCATGCTGAACGAGAGCATCAGTGAATCCGGGCGCAGTATTTTGTTGTCATGGTTGTATCCAATTGCATCTCAAGTGCGTGAGGGATGGATTACGCTCATCTACGAGCTACGCTATAGACATCTCGCTCAGCCAGACAACTGGAGGGTACAGACACAGAGTCTGTTTATAGTGTCTCCATTTTCATAGTAATTATAGAACAGACAGAAGGGAAAACAAATATTTTACTCTTAAAGGAAGGAGGAGGCCTCGTAGCTGAAGTTTGTTGTATGTGTGGTTTGGTGTCTGTAGGTGAAAGAGCGTTTGCGTGAGCCTCATGTGTAGTTGTTGGATCTGCCGGTGGGAACGTATGAGTTCATGGTCCGCTGTCGCTCCACCAACAGCAAACACTGGAGCACATGGAGCGAGTCCATCAACATCACCATCAGCGGCAGACCTCTGTCCGGTATACACACAGACACACACACACTATCGCTCACACACACACACACACACACACACGTCTGGTTTACTATCCTTGTGGGGACTCTCCATAAGTCTAATGGTTTTTATACTGTACAAACTGTATTTTCTATCGCCCTACACCTAAAGCTACCCCTTACAGTAAACTTTCTGCATTTTTACATTATCAAAAAAAACTAATTCTGTATGATTTATAAGGTTGCTTCCCCATGTGGACCTCATTTTAGGTTCACTATGTTGACACGAGTCCACATGAGTCAGTGTGTATTCAGGTTTAAGCCCCCACCGGGATAGAAAAACATGTACACATACACACACACACACACACACACACACACACACTCACAGACACACAATAACGTATCAACCCGTCTGTGACGACTGATAGTTGCAGCTCTAAATGTCTCTGTCTGTCTGTGTCTGTCTCTCAGATCGGATGTTGGCCTTCATCCTTGCTTGCAGCATTGCCTTTATGGCCTTCCTCATAATTGGTTTTGGGATCGTCCCACGAGGCAAGAGGTCAGTGAAGTCATGAACCTTGTAGCTCTGGTCTCAGTATCGATGGACTGTCGACATGACATGACTGTCAACACGGCTGGATCTGTAGATTCTGTAGATCGGGTCACATGATCCAGAGGCTTGATTAGATGTTTAGTTTGGTCACAAAGAATCACAAACCTCACAAACCTTTTCACATTTTCTCTTATTTTGAGTGAAAATATGTCGAATTATAGTACCATGCTTAGCTTTGAGGAACAGATATAAAACATAAAAACCCCAATAAATGAGTAAAAACACAACATGCAAGAAAAAAAAGAAAGAAAAGTATTAAGAAAACATAAGTAAAAAACTCTTTAATCTTTACTAAAGAAGAAAAATTTTAGATAAAAAAAAAAAATCCACAGTCTTCCTAATATGATCCATGTTTCCACCTTTCACAGATGGTTCTATCTCACCAAAAACCTAAGACAAAGTCCCTTTCAAGGAAAGACTGTTCACTTGGTGGCCATATTTGCAACGCCTCCGTGCAGCTATTTTGGGCATCCAAGACCAAGTCCAATCTAAATGAATGGGGAATTCTGAAATCTTAAAAACTACCTGCTGAACTCACAATTAAATTACATATTTCACATCAGAAGCAACAAAATCCATAATTGTTGTTCCTTATGCTCAAATAGTGTTAAAAAAACATATTTCTCAGGCTAGAACAGTCAATGCGTATGTGCAGTCATAATCGCTAGCTTCTAACGGCAGCTGCAGTGACGCAATGACTTTACCAATCAGCGATTGGCTCTTTCGTTTAGAAGGCGGGACATATTCTGCGTTGCAGTTAATGATGGGAAGTTCGGATCATTTTACCGACTCTGACCTTTAAGTCTCGTTCAGCAAAATGAACGAATCTTTTTTCGAGTCATTTCGATCATTTCGTTCATTTTAGCAAAATATAATTAAAATGTAACGTGTTACTTCCCTAACACGTCTACTACTTACGCAAACGTTGATCACACTACAAACAATACAAAACTGCTATAAGAAACAGAAAAGATTAATTCATTGTTTACCTGGGTCTTCAGCCTATGATTAGCTCACCTCACCTCTTATCTGACAAGTCTTCGGGTTTGAGTCGTTCGTTCATCACGTGACAGCCCCATAAGCTTTAACCAATGCAGTCTGAGCCGGAAACAGAATTGATTCGTTCATCTCTCGAGTCTTTCCAATCATTCGTTCTTTTGTCACGTGACGTGACAGCATTG